GCATGCCCACATCCTCTCTTCCACTCAGGGCAGCTTCTCTGTGGTGAGGAGCTTTGCCACAATCACTTGCTTCTTTGTTTCTGATGGTTTCTTTGTTTCCACCTTACTGCTCAAGCTCAGAACTTCAGGTGGGCCTGGTCCTTCTGCATCCATGCAGAGAGAAGGGTGAGCGGGGGTGGGAACCCCACCTGATGGATTAGAGAGATTGCTGGGAGGGACACTGCAATGGCCACCATGACACGAGACAATCACACCTTCCAGGGTGAAAGGGAATGAAGACAAGGGAGGGACACAGCAGTGGGACCCCAAGGTCGCCTGCCAGGCTTGCTCTCCCTCCACGGCCACCCTGGGGGCCTGGGTGGTGTTGGAACTCAGCTACAGTGATTAGGCTGAGGGGACTCAGGATAAAGGACCCTCCACCTCCTCACTAGGTTCCAAACGCAGCCCCTCTATGTCTACCCTCTGAGTTTCTGGAACTCAGCTGGAAGAATACATGATCAGGCCAGACCCAGAGCCCAAGCCAAACATGACAGGGGTCACGTGGGGTTGTAACCCCGTGCTCAGTGGTCGGGGACTCCTTGCAAATCTGCAGAAATCCCTGTTCTGCCTCATTCCTGGGAGAAACCCCACATCTCCTTCTGCTCTGTTAGTTCTTCTCTTGAGGCTATTGTCCTGGAGGGATGCAGAGTCCTTGAACCTAGCCCTCCAAACGTACATAAGCAGACTGTTCAATAAAACAAATTATGCACTTTTTCACATTTGCCAGTTTTTTGATTCCAGAAAGGCTTTGGGACTCATTCTCACAGTCTCCTGTGCCCCCACCTCTTGGTGGCCCTCTGCTCATGGAAACACGATTTCCCACAACTGTACCCTGCCTCCCAGATGGTCAGAGGGGAGTGTCCCACAAAGACACAGGTGTTTGTGAGGATCCTGTCCCCCAGCAGAAAGCCTACTTCTGGAGCCACGGACAGGGATCTGGCCTCCTGAGCCGCTCAGCTCTAATTCAAAACCTAAACTGGGGGCCCCGAACATTGCTGAATGACTTTCTGAGTCACCTGGACTGGAGGGGCCTGATTTTCATTCCCAAGAATGGAAGTAGCGCAGCCTCCATTTTCAGGGATGACATTGATGATGGATCTAGTTCACCCCACTGCATCCCAGGAAGGAGAGGCCCTTCCATCCCACAGCTTGGAAACCCAGCCCAGGGGAGTTCTGAAGCAGTGCATCGCTGCCAGGTCCAGCATCCCTGCAGAGTGGCCTCTGTCCCTGAATGAGCCCTTTCCCTGCCCCGACATGACCACAACCCAGGCTGTGCCAGAGCTCTGGGGCTCTGCATGTCCAGGGCACACAGGTGGGACCTGAGCCAGGTGTCCCCTGGGCCTCAAGGGGGAGAGGTCTGCCTCTGCATCAGGGGAAGGTGACCCCACATGGCTGGCAGGACACTTCCAATATGGACCTCCAGGAGCCCAGGGAGCAGTTTCCCTGCAGGTGTTAGGAGCCATCATCAGGAGGGCAGGCCCCTCTTTGTGCAGACCATCCCGCAGTGCTGGGCCCACGTGCTGACCACAGAAATCTACATGCCCCCAGGATACCCCAGGCAACCTCACAACTTCGTCACTTGGTGACCTGGGTACCACAGGCTCCTTGGCCATCCCATGAGGGTGGTCCTTGCAGACATGGCCTCCAGGTACCCACGTTAAGAATCCCCCTGGGTTTCTGTGGTCACAGAGCCCACACCAGAAGATTCTAGTCCTGCAGTGACCCCCACAGCAGTCAACTTCCCCATGCATGTCCAGGGACAAATGACAGCAATTTATTGCCAGGAACCGTGATGAACAAGGGGGTGGGATTCCATAATAAGTTCAGGATCCTGGTAACTCACTATGCACCCCAAAAAGCATCCATGAGAAATGTGTGTATTGGGATATCTGTGCCCCCAGGACAGCTGCTCCTGAGGGCTCCTGGGACCCTCCAGCCCCTCTCAAGGTTCTCAGCGCCTGGGTCTAAATTTCTATCTCCCTCCTTTGGTGTACAGCCACCTGTGTCTCGTGGTCACGGGTCACTTTATTGCATGACTTGGCATGTTCTTAGTGCTCGTCCTCCACCCCTGCACTAGACTCCCAAGATGTTCCCACTGACCCTTGGCTCCCTGGGTGGTTCAGGGGGCCTTAAGTCTGCACCCCTCACTCTCCTCCTCTACCCCCACCCCTGGGGCTACCCCTAGGTGGACTGGGAGGTGTTTGTAAATGAGTCTTACACAAGGACACGCCTGGACAAAGCAGGACCCCACCCCCGAAAAGCACACCTGCTCCCTTGTCTGAAGAGGACCCCACAGCCCCACACTGCCTCCCAGGGGTCTACTCAGGACACAGTCCCCCAGTTCTGGGCAAGGCGTCTCCCTGGAATCCTTGCTTCCAGAAAGAGCCTCTCTGTCCTTCTTCAGAGTTTAGAGTTGTTCCCATGTTCCTGAGCACCAAGGTGCTCAGCACAGACCCTTCACTGTCCTGGAGAGACAAGGAAGATATGTGGCCACAGGTATCTCAGGATACACCTGCTGGGACCCCAGGCCAAAGGGCCGTCCTTCTGCCTTCTCAGGTGTGGATTCCGTGGTACCTTTTTGCAGGGGGCCCAAATGGGGAGTGGGGCCCAAAGCAGTTCATA